TATCCGGCAATCTAGTTGTTAAGAGAAAAATATTGACATTAGAAGCCATGGTACAAAAAATTCAGATATATATATATATATATATATATATATATATATCAGTGTCTTACATGGAGACAATAGGTAAGAAAGAGGGCGTTTATAGTGTAGTGAAGTAGAGCATCGTCAGCTAGCTGATCTGGACAAGTACAGAGCCACGCAATCGAAGAATAATCAGAAGAGTCAAACACTGGAGGAGGCACTTCTCGAATTTTATTGGCACCCTCAAAGGCTTGGTGACCTCTTCCGTTTTTCTAGATAAAGCAAATGCCAAACCGTCATTCAAATTATTGAAAAAAATTGTCCGATATGATATACAGCAAGCTATCTACAAGCCTTTTATACGCAGATATTTTAAAATGTACAGAGAAAGGAGGATCGACTGTTCAGTTGCGCGTTCATATTCTTTCCGTTCACATTTCCCCAGAGGGAAAAATGGATGGCAAAGCGACAGACGCTTAACTCGCCTCATTTTTGGGGTCAGACAGCATTTTACAAGACCCCTACCCACCTAAATTGGTCAAAGTGATAATTTAAAATGGAGACTAGGCTTGTCAAACTCTATCAAGAGTGCGATTAAAACAGAATTGACATAAAATGAAGGTCTTATAGCAATCAACTCATCTACCAACCTCGTATTGTCCTGTTGAACAGCAATAATCCAAAAGACATTCGGGAGTTGTATTTGAAATGCACTTGAAAGCAACGTGCATCAAATCTTCGTTAACAGTGGAATAGAAGCAAGCAAGAACACCTTGACATTCGTATAAATGCGGTTGAACATGCTTCCTTCCATCCGCTGGTCCGTGGGGATTTGCCGCCTCTTCGGCACACTCTTCACTGCAGAATCCCACCTGCAAACACGAATTTTATCCTCATTATACACACACATAATTTGAAATGAATTGCGATTAAACTACCTACGTGTGGACATCCACTGCATGGAATGAGATTGAGGCATCGTTTGTAGCAGATATTACAATACAAGGTTCTTTCACTATACAAACTCATCGCATACGCCCTCTCAAGTAACAGCACTTCACCTATAGAAAAGAGGCAAAGAATGAAAAATGAATTCCACTCCTAACCAACGGAAACGTCCCTTGTAACTTCCAGTGTCCAACCACTCGAAGTATCAGTGTTCTTTAGACGCAAAAGACCTTTAGGCACCGACAAACCATTTCCAAGAAGTTTGAAATCTGGACCTTCAGGGTCTTCCAAGCTTTCCCTTCTTGTCATTAACACAGGGAGTTCAGAGCGATAGCACTGCCATTCTGAATGATAGGTCTCCACCAGTTGATTACCTTTAGATCTTTCATTGCATGTTGCTATCCCTTGAATAGTTCTTTCCAAAAGATCAGATTTGGAAATACGATTATATATTCGAAAGGCCGTCTCAAAATGTGCTTTCGCTTCTGCCAATCTATTGACAATGATGTAACTGTCTCCTAGACATAAATGAACGTGAGCAAGTTCTTCTTGTAGGAATGTCAGTTCAAAAATTTCCGTATCTTGAATAGTTTGGGCAACCTAAGTGAAAGCTATCAAAAACCTATTAGCGCGAAAACCCACCTTCAAGGACTGTTCGCCGTCCCTTATAGCTTCACGAATAAGACCAAGGTTGAATAAGATGTTGCATCTTCTAGAATATGCCATTGCTTTTTGTTCAGGTGAGAACGCATAGAAGACTGCGGAGGTTGCACGATGTAGGGCTAGATAGACTTCATCTTTGTTCCATTCTTCCAAACTGCAAAGGCGATTCAACTCAGATATTCTGTCCGATTTCCCAAACAATCTTTTTATTTCATTTCGGGTTTTAAGTCGGTTAAATTGTTCAAATCCTTCAATGCCAAAATTGAATTTTCAATGTCAGGACTCACCTTGATAGGAATGTTGTATTGCCTTCAGAAGGAAGTAAATGCGATCAAAATCATTTCTTGCCCGACGAAAGATCTTCATCCATTCACTTTTTGCTCCAAATCCTCTCAATGCATTACCAACTATCTCCGCAAATATGTCACAGCATATGGTCTGGGAATTCTCGTAGTCTAAAAGCTCTTCATGTACTTGCTAAAAAAATTATGCAATTGATATAAAAGCGCATTTTTAAATAGCTTGTTTTATTGGTGGACTTTATTCAAGCTCCATTCGATTGTATTCATTATGTTACACAATCGCAGACAGATTTGGCCAATAGCAGTTCAGGCAAATGGGCTGCTCCCCACATAGCTGCATATTTAGCACCTATCGCGTGCGTACAATCGACGTTAAAACGTCTTTCTGCCCTACTTCTCAATTGTCAGTTTGAGTTAGGAACTCTTAGCAATTGTTCCTTCTCGCTCCATAAATGTCCTCTCAGTTTACTGCTTTTCCTAATTATCTACATTACCTGTAAGCTATTAAGCATGCTGTTACAGGGCAATTCTAAGAAGTCACTATCTAAGAGGGAAGAAATTGCCAGCACATGGACACAGAGTAAGCTCATGTGAAATTGTTTAAACTAGGTAAACCCGACCAAAGTCAGGTATTGTGCTTTGAGGAGGACGCGAGTGTCTAAAATTCAATCTTATTTACATGCGGCTTTCATACCTCTCCACTAACCGAAACAAGCTGCTGATTGGCGTGATTATCGCTAAAACGAAGGTTTGAAAGGAATGGCTACATTCCGGTAGATAGAGATTTCAAGGCTGAAATAACATTGGTTATCAATCAAGTGAAATTCAATGAGAGGACACAATGCGTGGAAAAGGAAATGCAATTGCAGGGAATGCTTAAAGGAATGAATAAATTGACACAACAATGAGCTAAATGAAAAGCAACTATTTAAGAAAGTCTTCTTACCTCAATACCGATAGTGCCCATGAGAAGTGCTTCTGCTATATTGAATTTAAAAATGTTTCATGATTAAATTTTGTTTGAAAAATTGAAAATTAATTGAGTAAAAATGAATTGCCGGATTTATAATCAGCTAATAACTTCTACTGTGAACCCTTCATGTCGCCAATCACCCCACTCTCTTGCTGCAGTAGAAGTGAAAATTGGTAGGATTTAGAGGGGGTAGAGCTTGGAAAAGTCTAAACAAGACTAATCTCCACCTTTTGTTGTCTTAGGACCCGCTAAACTTCTTCATGTGGTGGGGTATGATGAGAATCGGTCTAGGAGACAAACTGGTTATTGGTTTGTCTTAAATTTGAGATTCAGGGGAAGGAATTTATGGCGAATTGCTACACGAATAAGCCTTGACTTATGTTCAGTGGTCTCTGTGGCAAGATAACCTCAACAACAGGGTGAAAACGGGAGCGCGGTGCGCGTGTGTGTGTGCGCGTGCGGAATTTATTTATATCAAATTTCAAGCGTCTTGAGGGTTATCATTAGCCCTTTAGTTGACTTCAGGCTTCACAGAGGGGGACAATCAAAGTGAAAAAAGTCGGGAGGGGTGGGGGGAACAGAAGAGTGTTTCAAAGATGTAAGAGACAAACAAAAAAGGTAGAAAAAAGGTGAGGTGAGTACTGTGGAAATAGTCGAATATGGCATAGAGTGAGGTGATGGTAGTTTGAAGTGAGAAGTCAACTGCCAGTTAATATATACGTTAATATACGTTGCAAGGGTGCACCACGTGGAAGTAAGTCTATCGCACACCCC